GTATTCAGGAAACTTCTTAGCTTTGGTTTAGTCCAGTTGTGCTGACTTCCTCTGTAGTGTGTGCTGTCCTTCCCTTCACCTAAGATAATTCTTTCACCCTTAATTTTTTAGTGCTAGCACTCTCACTTAGAGATTAATGAATCTGGTTTCTTAATTCTACCCAAAGAGCCTAGAGACTGTTTGCTCCTTTTTGAAAGAGTTCATCTAAAAAGAGCACCAATGAAGATTTAAGTTCCTGATCATAGGCCCTCATAAATCTGAGCAGCATTGGTCCCTAGCATCCCTTGGGCAAAAGAAGAGCTAGAGATGCAGAGAGGAGTCGGAATTGGTCCCAATTTTCATTCATCCAACAAATGTTTAGTGAGCACCTCATATGCGCCAGGTGTTGTTCTAGGCTCTGGGGATACAAGAGTAAACTAGAAAAACAAGAGACTCATGAAGCTGACATTAGATAATGAACAGAGTTGTCTAGAAGGACTCAAAACAGAGGCATAAACACATTTTGGTTAGAACTCAATACCTGACATTACAGAAGAGAAATTACGTTTCTACCTCTCCATTTTGCCTTTTTTTTCCTTTCTTCTACCCATTCTTTTCATCTGTACTTTTGTTGTTATTAGTTGCCATCAACTTGTATCCACTCACGGCAACCCCATGTGTGCAGAGTAGAACACCTTCTGAGATGCCTCTGGGTGGGTTTGAACAGCCAACTTTTTGGATAGTAGTCAAGCACTTAACCATTTGCTCCACCCAGGGACCTTAAAATTTGTTTACTATTTTTTAAGAACAGAACTCAAAGATCAACTGACACCATGCTGCCCTGCATGGTGTCATATTTTATAACCCTAGTTTGAGGTCATGTTTTCTAACCCTAGTTTGTTTCATCATTACCATGACTTTTACAAATCTTGATTCATCTGAGTTCAGCTGTCCAGTCTAAAATTCAGTGACTGTACAGATGTGTGGTGGGACTCAGGAGTAGGTGCTCTGATAGCATGGAGTGATTTCCCTGCATTTCTTAGCAAATGGAGGGTAACCACCGTCTTGGAAATTTTTTGCAGTGGCATAAAACTGATTGATGAGCTGTTCATCCCTTCTAGAGTAGGCCATTTTTGACTGGAAAATCTCAAGCTCAGCTTTGTTTTGCACTAAGAATTTTCCTCTAGATTCATTTGACATTACCTTTTACTGCTGGTGAAATTTCACTTGCTGCACATTAAAACAAATGTGTCGAGTCAACTTCAACTCATAGCAACCCTATCGGACAGGGTAGAACTGTCCCATAGGGTTTCCAAGGAACCCCTGATGGATTCGAACCACCAACCTTTTGGTTACCAGTTGTAGCTCTTAACCACTGTACCACCGGGGCATATTAGGAATTATAATATAAAGTGGATCTCTGTCTTAGCTATCTAGGGCTGTGATAATAGAAATATCACAGGTTGATGGCTTTAACAAAGAGAAATTT